GGAGAAACACTTCAACTCTACTCTCGAGACCCAAATGTTTTCTTTGCCTCAAAACAAAAGAGGTTTCATTTATCTTTCATCTCCTTCGCTCCTCCATTCACCATGTTATAATATATAGCCTGTTGAGGTTTTGAAATTTACACGTTTCTTCAATGCGGGATTTCAGGTATGGAGAGATTTTCAAGACAAACATTTTAGGTTGTCCCTGTGTGATGCTAGCTAGCCGTGAGGCAGTTCGGTTTGTGTTGGTGACTCAAGCTGATTTGTTCAAGCCAACCTACCCCAAGAGCAAGGAGAAACTCATTGGTCCGGAAGCCCTGTTTTTCCATCAAGGAGATAAACATATCCGCTTGAGGAAGCTAATTCAAGGCACCTTGTCACTGGGGGCCATCCGGAACTTGGTGGCAGACATTGACACCATCGCTGCCTCCGCTTTGGAGTCGTGCCATGGCGGGCACATCATCAACACCTTTCGTCAAATGAAAAAGGTTAGCATAGTAGCTAAGCACTAACTTCTTTATCGATGAAACATGGTATGGTTCCAATGTAGTCAAAAAAAAAAAAATGATTGGGTCCAAAATTTGTATGCTTTAATAATATAAAACACGTTTTGACCATACTTTTCTTAGAATAGTTTATGTACTACAGTTTTTATTTTTGTCCCATGTTACTGGGTTTCAAGAATTTGTCCTGAACATTTTGGTTGCAGTTTTCTTTTGAAGTGGGTATATTGATGATTTTTGGCCATCTGGAGACTCATTATAGAGAAGAACTGAGGAAGAACTATTTCAAAGTCGAGAAAGGCTACAATTCTTTTCCCACAAATCTTCCTGGAACTCCATACAGGACGGCCTTACAGGTAATCGGAACATCATAAAATCTGGAATTCCATTTCTCTAATTTCCTCTTTGGATTTAATGTGACATTTTCTTCTTGTTCTCTATTTTAATATGACATCGGACAGGCAAGAAAGAAGCTAAGTGAGATTCTGAGTGTCATTATACGAGAAAGGAAGGAGAAGAAGTTAACTGAAAAGGATCTGGTGGATAGTCTATTGCATTCCAAGGATGAAAATGGAGAAGTCCTAACGGAGGATCAGATTGCTGATAACATCATCGGAGTTCTGTTTGCCGCTCAGGACACCACGGCAAGTGCCACGACATGGATTATCAAATTCCTCCATGACAACCCAAAGCTTCTGGAAGCAGTGAAGGTAAGAATTAAGACATGTCATCAGCATTCTAGAACAATCCAACCCCCTCTTTTTTTTACCTCTTTTTGTCTTAATCTTACTTCTTATATTAAATTGAGGGGCTTAATTTGTAGGCTGAACAGAAGGCAATTAGGAAACAGAATGAAGAAGAAGGAAAGCAGCTTAATTGGTCACAAACTAGGAACATGCCTGTCACCTACAAGGTCATGTTGGAGAGCTTAAGAATTGCAAGCATCATTTCTTTCACTTTCAGAGAATCAGTCACCGATGTTGAATACAAAGGTTAGAACTGACTAAGAGGGATAAATCAATGTGTTTATGATATTGAAATGCAAATAAAAAATGAAATTTAAGGGAATTACAGACTCAGAAATTTGGTGACAGGGCACCTAATTCCCAAGGGGTGGAAAGTGATGCCTCTGTTTAGGAACATTCATCACAATCCAGAGTTTTTTGCTGATCCTCAGATATTTGACCCTTCGAGATTTGAGGTATGATGGGCATTTTTTTCCATGTTCATTTAAAAGGCTATATTGGCTTTATAATATTTGCATTTATTATATTTCCTTTTTGCACCCAAAAAAAAAAAAAATTGGCTTTAAGATTTTTGCTTTGTTTCTGGACATAGTTTTACTTCATTTCTATTTTTATTTTTATGGTATATGTAGGTTGCTCCAAAACCCAACACATTTATGCCATTCGGCGGTGGAGTACATGCTTGTCCTGGAAATGAGCTTGCAAAGCTTGAGATGCTTGTAATGATACATAATTTGGTTTCAAAATACAGGTAAGCTTGAGATTTCCTTCATGCTGCTACTAAATAGTGCCAAAGTGGAGATTGTTCTGTCGTGTGGTATTGATGATTAACATTTTCATTGGGTGTGTTGCAGGTGGGAAGTGGTGGGATCCCAAAGTGGGATTCATTATGGCCCATTTCCAGTTCCCATGCAAGGGCTTCCCACCCGATTTTGGAAAGAATCTACAAGCTAGAAAGGCAGCTGAAATAAAGCAACTTCTACCCTGCATCTGTTGTTGAATCTTCTTATATTTTCACTCTTTATTTCTGGGCAGCTTTCATTTTTGTAAGCAAGTGTCTAGCCCATCCCCTTCCAAAGTCATATTGGGATGGTGTGTCTTTTTTTTTTTTTTTTGAACAAGGACAATCAAGGGGATGAGGGAAGG